ACTACAGATAAGACTTTCACACACATCAACTTTCACATGACGAAATCCTACAATCTTACATTGTTTTGTTTGCTTTTTTTTTTGTACTTTTGTGTATTTACATTTTTGGCTATATGTAGCTGTATTAACCTGAATTGAATGCTTTCTATTTTGTATTTAATAAATCCATTGATCTGAAATCCCTTTGACTACTTTACATTTTTGACAATATAGACATTAGTTATGTGGTGACTGCATCCATTTCAGATGTATACTAACTGATTTTCCCAAAGACTTAAGTTATAGTAGCTGAAAAGTATTTAAAGTGAAACAGCTGTGTTGTTATAGATCAGGGGTGCATCCTGTTCCTGGAGATCTACCTTCCTACAGAGTTCAGTTCCAACCCTGATTAAACAAACCTGTCTGTAATTATCAAGTGCTCCTTCAGGTCTGTATCTTCATTAAAAAAGTTCATCCACTCTTTCCTAATGTTAGGATCAGAAGGAAGGCAATGCAAAGACTGTGTTTTTCCACAACTTGACACTGAACAGCATCTTGTGGTTTTCGGAGCATCTTTATTGTTTGATTTCTGCGCAGACCTGCATTTGCCTTATTTACAAATTACAGTATGTGTGTGAATCGGTGGGCGGGGCTAAACAGGCAGTGATGTAGAAGCAGGCATTGATCTCCATTTGTGGAGACGGAGTTTAGCCACACTATTATGTCATAAAGTGGCACATTCCAAAACCTGTCATTGTGGCAGATTGGCTTCAATATAAGCTGTTTTTAGACTAACAAAAAAGTTTTGAGTTACAGTATGTTTTTATAGTACAATGACCTCTTATATGTCAAAAGATCAAGGGAATTTTGATTTCTTAGTTCATGGCCCCTTTATATATACATACATTTATGCACTACTCAGGACATCAGCGCAAGATGGCAGCGGCCATTTTGGGACATTTTGGCTTCACATTTCTAGAATGGAAGGAAGTGGAGACGTCCATTTATTAATTTTTTCCTTTTACAGTCTATGGTTCATACAGACAGTACTCAAGCAGCTATTGTAAACTGCTGTGTGAACAGGACATTTGTAGACTCACATCTGTAAGTGGTTGTCAGCAGTGTCGGGTAACTTGCTCTAAAAAAGTAATCAACAATGGAGTTAGATTATGAATTATTCTCTCTAATTTTAAATCCCATATCAACCTCGACCAGTTGAACAATACAAGGACAGACATGTAACTACTCTCAATCTTTCAAATAAATAATATAAAATTGCAAAAATTATTCTTTAACTGACCAAAGTGTTTAAAGGGAGAACAATACATTAAAAAAAACATACATTTTAACATTAGATGTTAAGTTTTTAAATTACCATATTCTCACTGGAGCTTAGGCCAAGCCTGCCACTGTTGAAAAAACCAGCATATGCTGGTTAAGTATGTTTTGAAGCTGGGATGCTGGTTTGAGCTGGTTTAAACTGGTCCTTTGCTGGTTTATGCTGGTCCTTAGCTGGTCATGTGCTGGTCATAAACTGGTCCGACCAGCTTAAGACCAGCACATGACCAGCATAAACCAGCAAAGGACCAGCTCAAACCAGCATTCCAGCTTCAAAACATACCTAACCAGCATATGCTGGTTTTTTCAACAGGGGTGTCATCTGCTGGAACGCCACTCTCGTTTACGCGCATACGACAGTTAGTGGAAGCTAGAAATTACGGTTTATAAAGTTTTAAACATAGATATTTTTCTCACACAAATGCATCAATTAGTTTTAGAAGGCCTTTATTAACCCCCCAGAGCCGTGTGGAGTACTTTTTATGCTGGATGGACACACTTTTTTTGGACTTCAAAATCTCAACACTCATTCCCAGCCATTATAAAGCATGGAAAAGCCAGGACATTTTTTTATATAACTCTGATTGTATTCATCTGAAAGAAGAAAATCAGATACACCTACACTCTAAAAAATGCTGGATTAAAAACAACCCAACTTGGGTTATTTGGCAACCTAGAGCTGGGTGAATATTGGACAGAACACATGCTGGGTTATTTTGACCAAGCTGGTTGGGTTAATGTTTTTACCCAACATGCTGGGTTGTTTTATTTAAGTCAACTATTGTTTAAAAATTTATTATATTGCTGAATTGTTTAAAAATTATATATATATTGCTTAAAAATCACACACAGAATTACTAGAGGCAACAGCAATAATCAAAAGATGACCATTTATTATTAAGCAAGAACAAATGGACAAAATACATGTAGTCATTTAGCAGACTCTTTTATCCAAAGCGACTTACAAAAGTGGATAATAGAAGCAATCAAAACCAACAAAAGAGCAATAAAATGCAAGTGCTATAACAAGTCTTGGTTAGCCCAATGCAGTACATGTAGCAAGGTTTATACATTTTTTTAAATACAAGTTGAATTTGGAATCCAGCATAGTTTACAATATTGCATACATTTAAACTCGTTCAACGAGCATTTTAGAAATAAAAAATTTAACATTTAAAAGTAGCATTTTAATTTAAGTGTATTCAACTGTTCTCTGCAATCACTTTTTACAGAAATAGTGCTAGTGCGTGCCGGTGTGTCGCCGAAATCTGAGCCGGTGAAGGGCTACTGTTAGCAGGGGAACTGCAAACTTCAGACCGCCGCCTCGCGTTTCACTCGTAGCTGAACGATGCTTTGACTGACTCCATAACCTGCCCATAAACAAACAGTACTGAGATTAAAGAACATATTTTAACATCAAATTAAATTAAACTCAGTATTATAACGAATAAAATCCATTTATGTTATGCAAGGCAAAGGGCGCTGCTGACTAACACCTATGTTGGGTTGCGTAACATAATATAATTTACAGCACAACAAAGACTTTATAAATGAAATCAAATGTATACAAACCTTTATCAAAATTCGATTTGACCAAATCGGCAGCGCTGAGAACTGCTCTCTCCTGTAAACAGAGGCGGACTTCCCCATTAGGCAAAGGTAGGCGACTGCCTTGGGCCCCCAAAAGCCAAGGGCCCCCTAAAATGCTTTTTATACTCAAGATGCGCATTAAGCTCTGACATGAGAATGGTTGCTTTTTACAGTGTTTATCACCACGACAACTGTCTGCGTGTCCGAGTTGAACACACTTCTCGTGTATCCTGCTTGTAGCAAATGAAAATATCATGTATCTGAAGCTGTAATTAAATATTGAGCAACAGCGCATATGATATGTTTATTGTTTTAAATGCCGCTTACTCATTTATGAGAAGGACCCAAGTAGAGGACGCATACGCAGTTACTTGTTTGGTTGATATAATCCTTAGGTGTGTAAATGTATAATTTCCATTTCATTATTTTTTCATTTTCATTTAAATTTGTAGTTAAAATAACTAAAATAAGTGTAATTTTAAAGTTTAGAATTAGACAGCCTTTGGCACACAGGCTTACGC